TCTGCACTCTCCACTATTTCACACTATTCTCCTAAACTTTACACGCTCTACTTCTGCACTTTTCACTCTCTACTCTGCACTTCTAACTCTCCACTCTCTACACTCTACTTTTGCTCTCTACTTCGCACTCTCTTTTTTTCGTTTCCACTTCTCACTCTATACTCTACACCTCTAAATCTCTACACTCTACACCTCCTCACGCTATACTCTACACCTTGTCACGCTATACTCTACACCTCTGCATGTCTACAGAGACAACTCTACACTCTACAGTCTACAGTCTACACCTCTACACTCTTCATCTCTACACTCTTCATCTCTACACCTCTACGCTCTTCATCTCTACACTCTTCATCTCTACACCTCTACGCTCTTCATCCTCTACACTCTCCACATTCCTTTCATTTCACACTCTCTACTCTCCTAACTCTACACTCTTCACTTTCTACGCCTCCACTCTCGACTCTATACTCTCTACCTCTCTCAACCCTTGCCACTGTCTACTCTCCAGACTCTATCCTTCACTCATCACTCTCCACTCTCTACACTCTACCCCACAATTCTTGTTAATACTTTTTTATCATAAACCAAGCGAATTTATGTGCCTCGCCTCGCCTTTGTCTTTGCTGTTGGGGCTGGAGCTGTGTGGCAAGAGTTCTGGCTCTGCCGCAATTAATATGCCAGGCAGTTCACTCCGCCAGCGAACGCGACACCAAAAGCAAACAGATAAAACTGCGTGATTGACTGATTGACTAGCTGACGGAGTGACTGGCTGCGATCAAGGCCAAATGAGAATGCAACAAAGGCCGGGCTGGGCCGGGGCATGCCACTCGCTTCATCTGGCCATACAGCGCGCACCTGAGCTTTTGCGTTTACCCTTTCCTTTATTATTATGTTCTTTTCTTGACTTTTATTATTTATAATTTTTGTGTTCTTTCATGACATTTGCATAAACTGCATAAGAATTTCATTGAAATGCGCAGACAACGATGGGCCGAAACATTAAAGAGAAAAAAACATCACGGAATGACATTGGGGTAAAGACAGGGAGAAAGAGAGAGAGAGACAGAAAGCAGTAGAAAAGGACAGAAGAGTGGGAGAGGAAGAGCTAGAGGCAGAGAGAAGGGATGACAGTGATAACGACAGCGACGGAGAAAGAGAGAGAGAGATAGAGATAGAGAGAGAGACAGAGAGAGAGAAAGAGAGAGAGAGAGAAAGAGAGAGAGATAGAGAGAGAAAGAAAGAGAGAAAGGGAGAGAGAGATAGAGAGAGAGATAAGAAAAGAAAGACAGATCGCAACAGAAAGACAAGGACTGGGATAGGCGGAGGCTCATATAGAAAGAGAAAGACTGATATCGAGAGAGTGAGAGACCGACATCAAGAAAGATAAAGAGGGACAGAGTCCGAAGGAGATAGAGAGGGAGAGACACATAGACATAGCCAAAGTGAGAAGAGTGGGCGAGAGAGGGAGAGAGAAGGAGAAAAAGAGCGAAAAAGAGGGAGAGACAAATAGAGAGATAGTGGAATAATTTAAGTGATCGAGTCATCTCAAAAACGTACAGGGGTTATACAAATAAATACAGATCTATATGTGTCTATATATGTTAATAAAGCTTTACAGATATGTATGTATCTGTATATATTTGCATGCTCTTTCGTGTGTGTGTGTGTCGCTTAGTCCAGGTGCAAATTGACGCAGTCACAGTTAAAGCCATAACTCCAATGTGTGTGTGCAGATATATGTGCAGATATGCAGATACATGTGTGTGTGTGTGTGTGTGTCTGTGCGTTTTCATCTGTGCATTTGTGCATTGGCTGTTTCGGTATGGCGACATTTCCACGGCCTCTGCTACAACAAAACGCCGCTCGCGTCTATCATTAGACATTTCCGGTCATTGGCTGCCCAGTGGAAACAAGTCAGCTGACAATTCCAATACGTAGAATAGAATAGACAGACGTTTTCTTTTTTTTTTTTTTTTGTTTTTTTGCCTAAAAATCACGTTTCAACTTTGCATAATCATTAAATGCAAAAGGAAAACGCATATCAATTACCGAACATCAATGGACTTTGGCAGCTAAAGGTAGGACGGAAATGCAAATGCTTTTCAAATATTTCAATTCGAGCTCAATTTCAGTTGGTAAAGTTAGCTTGAATGGCTAGTTATAGCTAGCTGTAGCTAGTTATAGCTTTTTGTTATAGCTACAATGATGCATATGTGAAAAAGGGCATGCCGCGGGCAGTGCAGCTGGCATGCATTGTGCTGTGACTGGGCTACACACACACACACACACACACACACACACACACGCACGTACACACACACAACTGCATGCCGCAGGGCCGCATCAGCCCCTGTCGGCATTTACCTTGCTAACTGAAGGAGGCCTCCAGCTGCTGCTGCTGCTACCTGTCTCCCTCTCCCTCTCTCTCTCTCTCTTTCTCTCTCTCAGTCTATCTGTGTATCTGTTGGCCCATGCACATTTTTAGATTCGAGTTTGGTTTACAAACTCTGCTGTTAGCAGGTAGCAGCCATGCACAGCGAATGCAGCGAATGTCCCAAACAGCGTATCTGCTATCTACGGCCGGCCTCGTTACCTCTGACCGCTGACAACTGACCGCCGTTCGTTCGGTCACTCACATTGCAGTTGTCTCCCTCTCTCTCTATCTCTCGCTCTCTCTCTGTCTGTCTGTTGCTGCTGCGTTATGGCCATATTCGTTAGATAAACGAGCATGCAATGCGCCAACTTTGCTAACTGTTTGGCACTCGCATTCGCGCAATTACGTTTAAGGCACAGCATGCTTTACGTTGTTTCCGCTGTTGTTATTGTTGTTGTTGTTATTGTTATTTTTTAGTTCTTTTAACTGCCTGTCAAAGTGCCTGTCAAACGTGGATTCAATTCAAAAATTGTCCACGGTGTAAGCAAATATTTGGAATTAATTTGGCTCAAGCTGAAGCTTCCGCACTCTATCTTGCTTTATATATCACTCTCTCGCTCTCTCCCCCTCTCTCTCTGTCTCTCTCTCCCTCTCTCACGGTACTTCCCTTAGTTTTCTTGCATTTAGCAAGCAGCTTAGCTAGCTGTTGGCTCATTTAGCATGCATACTGCACTTTATTATGGTCAGAACTCGGATTTTATTTATGGACTATGACACGCCCTCGGCCTGACAGGCTTTTGGTGGACATTCGAAGCGCCTTCAAGGTGTCCAATGCTGCCACAGCCCCATAGGCATAGGCGGCGAGTTGTGGCAGGGGCGGGCCGTGACTCTCCACAATCATTTGCAGCGCTCGGCTAATTTTATTATGCACATATTTTATATTCTTTTACACACGCCTTATCAACTTTACATAGACTGAAATCTGAGCACACCTTCTATTACCTGCCGGCACACACACACACACACGCACACTCACACGCTTCTGCTACTTCTTCTTCATCTTCTTCTTCCTCTTGTTATTGCTGCACATTTTGTTGCATTTCACCCGCAGCTACTTGGCCAGCGTCTTGCATATTTTAGTTGATGCTTTTAAATATTAAATAAACCCCGACAAAAAACAACAACAACAACAACAACAATGGCAAAAGCAGCGCCATTTTCAATGCTTGTGCACGTTGCCAACACACACACACACACACACAGACACACACACGCATAGCTATCTGCAGCTTGGGGCAGCCAGTTAGCATTTGAAGTTGCTCACTTTGTCGTTTTGTGTGACCCATGTCTAGCCATAGCTCTCTGCCTCCCTCTCTCTCTCTCTCTCGCCCCCTCTCTTTCGCTCTCTCTCTCTCTCTCTGTTTGCACTCTTTTTTCTGTTGGTAGCTTACCATTTGCCACACCTGAAGCCCGCCGCATTTGGTAGACGTCGCAAGTCTTGCGGCTTTCTGACAACGTGCCGTCGCCTTGTGCTCAGCGCCCATCACTAGAGGCTTCAGCTGCAACAACAACAACAACAACATCGACGCAACGTTGACGGCATTGTCTCATCTCGTCTTTTGCCTCTCTGCTCGCAACAGCCGCTGCACTCGCCCCATGCGGCATGCAGCAGCAGAATTGTGGCCAGCCGTTTCTTTCTTTTTCTTGTTTTCATTTTTTTTTTCTTTCTTGTCTGTTTTTTAGTCCGGGCAAACATTTTAACTRCTGCCTCGTGCAGCCCGGCACGCCCCCTTGTTGCGTTTCTTTGTCGCATTCCCCTGCTTGGTTTGTTATTGTGCTTTATGACGCCTGGACATATGCTACAATTTATTTTCATTCAGTTTCCATTGCCATTGTTGAAATACCCTTTCTATTCTAGTTAGCGGCGGGCTTTCGCGCAAATTAGCTGTCCACGCACACACACACACACTCTCATACGCACGCACTCACACACACTCTTGCATTCACACACGCACACACCGGCGGAGCTGGCTTTTAATATTAGCCCTGTCTCGCGCTGGCTAAATGGAAAGATTTGTGGAAGGTTTTAACCAGAGCTTAATTTAATTGTGCGGAACGACTGGCATAAAACAAAACAATGCAATGGAACAGGCTCTGTGTCGCTGTTCGAATGTGGCACAGGAATTTTAGCTCTAAGTGCAGATAAATTGCAGCGAAATGGAATGAAACACACGTTGGCAGCATGGGGAAACAAATGGAATGATACAAGTCATGTTAACGGAATCTAAAAGCAAACGGCATGAATGGGCTGAAGCATTTGTACCCTGAGAGCTATGTATGCGAAACTAACGGCATGGAACGAATGGAATGGAACATATTCTAGAAGCGAATAATATGCAACATGTTTTGAGCGCGCACATGACTTAGCGATTTCACGATACAAATGGAATAGAACGCCTGTTTGGAACGAATGGAATGAAACGCATTTGGCTGGCAGCATGTAAAGTATATGTCAAACGAATAGGCTCGAACATATGTGGCATGCAAATAAATTGCAAATAGTAAACAATGTGAAACGAATGGAATGAAACGCAATTTATGCACACATCAATTAAATGCCAACCGCAACTGCAATAAGCGAGACAAATGGAATGAAAATCACAATTTCATTGAGTGTTGACAACTCTAATGTTGAGTAATGTGAAACCAATGGAATGAAACACATACACATGCACATATATATTCTAAATGCCACGCATGATGCTCAAATTAGTTTTGATTTATGATTCAATTAAAATGCATTTCAATTAAAATGTGTTTTAATTGAATTATTTTCGTTCATTTTTCATAATTCACTGAGCCACAAAAATAAAATGCAATAATTGAATTTAAATATATTTATGTATATAATAAACTTGCAACTAATATGATTATCTAGTCAATTGAATATTTTATTTTCGAAACGCAGAAAAAAAAGAGATGAGAGTTTTCATTTGAATGTTGCAAATTTTTTTTTTTTTGTCTTTTTCTTTTCACTTGTTTTTTTTTTTTTTTTTAATTAGCTGAGTGGAGCTGCAGCAGCACAGCTCATTAACTTGCAACATGCAGTCGCTGGCCATCGATGTGGAAAATTTGTGAGACATTTGGCAATGAAACGGAAAAACGTTTGCCCAAATAAAAAAAATTTTAAAAATAAATAAAAAATATATATAAAAACAATAAGAAAAATAAACAGAATTTGTTGCTAGCATCTATCAATGGAATGGCCGTTTGGATGAGCAATGGCTAGCCAAGCAAATTGCATGCCACACACCACATGCTGCTTGCCACACGCTGCATGCCTCATGCCACATGCTGCATGCTGCATGGCCCGTTCTGTAATTCACATTGTTGAATGCCCGCCTGCCAGAATGAGCTCGTCTGCCTGATTTTTGGGCTATTGCCGCATTGGCCTATTGTTGGGCGAAAGCACTTTGCATATTTCGAGCCCAGAAACACTGGCCAACTGGGTATCAAATCGAATAATTGTTAGTGTTATTGTTATAGTTGTTATTTATGCTGCCGCTGCTGCTGCTGCTGATGATGATGATGATGATGATGATGATGATGATGCTGTTGCTGATGCTGCTGATGCTGCATGAAATGTGCACCGCGATTATATTGTCAATAGAAACGCATTAGAATAATGCAACGGAATTTTTATGGCCGCGCACAGTGGGACGCACAGCCGGTTAAATGGGGCAGAAAATCAGAGCTATATGTATTTATAGCACATTATGAAGATTTATTGATACTTTGGGCAGGAGCAAAGCTGAATCGCAAAGGCAATTCAAAAATTGGCTAAAAACAAACCAAGAGAATAATCGATAACAATTGCTGGGTTGCATGACATCAATGTAGACAATCGATAAGTCACAATGTAATCGATCACAAAGTGCTCAAGTTATCGAGCAAATTAATCGATTACAATCTGAAACATCAATCCAGTCTATTAATAGCATATCGATAACGATAAATTCTAAACAGCAATCGATCGAAACTCAAATGAAACAATCGAGAAGTTCCTATGCAAATCTAGTAAATGGATAACACGATTCTATCTATTTAAGGAGTTTATCGATAACAGCAATCTGTAAGCGTGAGCCAACTCAAAATTGATCTGAAGCAGCAAACGAATTATTTTAATCGAATCATCGATAAGTTGTTGCCGCCGACTATGACTAAACAGCAATAAGAATCAAAGCATCTAAGGCGATAACTTATCGATAACAGACAACTGGCTCTATGAGAAATAATCATGAGCCGCAATCGATGGGAATTGCTTAAAACATTTCATAAAATCGATTTATTTTCTATTTCTTGCTTGCTTTAATTTAATGCACTTTTTTGCGCATTGTTCCCACTGTGCCTTTGTTACGTTTGCATTTTTGTGGGTCAATCAATTTGGTGCGCAATAAAACAATGCTCCCAAAACAATGGATAAAACCGAAATTTGATTTATCTAATGAGCCAAATAAGCAAACAACAAGACGAGCGTTAAAAACGCACAAAAACGCGGCTGGCCAACATTTTGGTCGCAGCGTTAAATATGCATTTCAAATATGCCCAAAGTGCAGGCTATATAGAAACAGGCAGTGAGCGAGAGAGAGCGAGAGAGCGAGAGAGCGAGAGAGATGGGCAGAGTATGAGAGAGCAAACAAATAGAATATTTGCACAATACGTTGAGCTTTTGGAATCCACAACAAATGCGATTATGGGCTTAAAAACCAATGCATTTCAAACTAGCAAATGCTGCACAGTTTGAATGCAACTGGAATAGAGATATTGTTGTGGCACGCACAAGATGGAGCAGGATAGGCTCTCGACATTTCTATGTGTGTAAGTGTGTGTGTGTGTGTGTGTGTATGTGTGTGGGAGGCAGAATCTTCATTTTGTGGTTTTCTGTCAGTCAAAAATGGCAAAAGACCAGGGAAACTTTGGCAAAAGTTTTACTCTTGACACAGTTAGCCCCATAAGCCCCCGCACACACACACACACACACACACATACACACAAAGGGAAATGCAAAAATCTGTTTAAAATCATGCACAGATAGTCGAAGATATATATACACTGAGCTCTTGTACAAACCTCAGTGCAACCAAGGGTAATATAATATGCCCATTAAAGGTGCGAACTATAGGGTATACTGACTGCGTGTGCAGGTGTGTAACAGTTGTATAAAAGAGGCGGGGCAGGTATAACGTTAACCCATTAATAACTGACTCAAAGCTATAGTTAATCGATAACTTTCGATAACTCGCCACAACTTATAACTATCGGTAATAATCGACTATTTGGTTTAGATATTTGAGTTATATCACGCCTAGCATAATACGAATTTTTGATACTACTATTCGTATATTACCTAGCAGAGAACTCCCGAATACTTCATTCTCTTTTTCCCTTCTCTTCTCTTCTATTATTTTTCGCAAGTTTTTAACCTCTTAACTATTTTTTCATAGCAAAATGAGTATCAGATTATAAGTCAGTTTTTTGTGTGCTGCCCAATAAAAAACTTCGTCAGAATCACATCATTTTACAATCGATATTATCGGGGGAAAAAAACTAGCGTATTTCGCTTTTGGCACATCAGATTAATTATACTTCGATAAAAGTGCCGCAAAACGTATTACAAAATCAACATAGAATTCATGTTAGGGTATGGCAAGCAATACAAATTTTGCTGGCGCATTCAGATTGTGAGCATTAACTAAAACCAATAATCAACTTTGTAGACTGTCGGTCGAACGGCATTTTAGTGGTTGCAAAATTCTCCTCTCAAAATTCGTTAAACACACAAATTGGTTAAATATATAAACGTTTTCCACTTGAAAGATTTTCCAGATGATTTACTAAAAATTTCAAATATCAGCTATCTATTGAATATGGATTACAAAATGTTGATGAAGAAGTAACACTAAAATATTAATATTTAAATTAATTCTAGGTCCCATATACCTTTTATAATTATTGACAGGGCATGCAAAGAATCGCGCACGTTCAGAGACTCTTAAACCATATCGAAAGAGCAGCACATCAAATTAAATAATGCAATTTTGTATACAACCTATTTATGAAATTGAAGATATTTTCATTTGATTTATTTTTAGATTTTTCTTACAGTTTCTGTTGATTTAATACATATATATTTTAATTGATATATTTGAATAATGATTCTCTGCTATATATTTTTACTTTCGATAAAGGATTGCATAGCAGCAGTTATAACTTTGACCCTTAACTGTCTAAAAAAAAAGTATTTTTTGTTTTTATTTAAATTATTTTTTCTTGGTTTTGTGTGCCATGTAATTTGAGTAGTTGCTTTGGCTGTCTGTGAGCAAGAAAAATAATAAAACAAAACAACAGCAACTGAAATACAAATTAAAAAAATAAAAACAGAAAACAGAAAACAGAAATCACAGAATATGACAAAGAAAGTGCGAGCAAAACAGCTGCACAAACAAATTCGCGCTGCGCTGCGCTGCCTTTTGTGCCGGGTCAGTTACGAAAGCAAAGAAAGAACTCCAATTGGAGCTGGAGCTGGAGCTGGAACTGGAACTGGTGGAACCAAAGAAACAAAGAAGCTGACCAAGAAAGGAAACAACAATAGTGAAAGAGTAAAAGAGTTCCCAAACAGGTGGCTCGACTCTGGCTTGACTTTTGCGAATCGCCAACTAGAATTACAGACTAGACGGGAAATGGGACACCTTTGCTCGACTCGGCTCGACTTGACTCGACCCGATTCAGCAGTTTTCATCGACCAAGAACAAACAACGGCGTCATTTGCGACTCTGTAAATAATTACTGTGAAATTCCTAAAGAAATCACAGACCTGATAAAAATGCTTAAATATCATGATATCATAATCGACGGCATAATACCCGTCCAAAGCTCGTACACTATATCATTTGTAGTTCCATCTCTTGATGGATTCCAAACTCAAAATAAATAAAGAATCAGCTCAATCTCAAATTTTCTGCAGTTTATATTGATATTGAAATTGCAAAACGTATATACCCTTCTTAATCTGTGGTGAGCATGTATTGAATTTATAAAGCGCATAAAACAATATACATAATATAAATATAAACATGCATGCAAAAAAGTGTCGACACTGCATGTTTTGAATTCCCAAGGTTCTTGAGAACAATGATAAAAGAAAATTAAGATGCAAAATAAATAAAGCGATTCGCATTGTGAATAAGGGCAAGATTTATAATACCAATTAAGACGATCTTATAATCTTTTTTCTAAAATATACGTCAAATGTTTATGTGATGCTTCCAATCCTGACAATGATCGACAGTATCATATAGTTTTGTATCGATAAATGTATATCTACTGATAATTAACCATAGTACTGTGCTCTCTAATTATTGTCCTCAATACAATAAGATATCAAATTTTATTCACACTTTTTTTTT